TCTATAACAGTTAATAATCGATGCACAACTGTCACTGTAAATATCACACGATTCAGTAACACTGTTCATGACGCAGCACATGAGATTAATTGGCGATTTTGTCATAACATTTGTACGGCCAGCTTGACAATAGAATGTCATTTGTTGTCGACTCCCTAGCCTTGGAACGCGGAAACATATTTTTTCAAGTAAATTTTGACAGTCAATTTTATTGTGCATGAGGCCATACCAAAACGACAAAGCAAATATGTTTCGTCTTGTTGACAGTGAATCCAAATTGAAAGACTCTAATAGGGCACTATGGTCACAACCTCTTTCTGGATAAGAACCTGTGCATTTAAGGTGAAAATACTTTAAAGCTTTACGTTGAATGGCCTCAAGGATCACGACAGAATTTTGGTATATAGGAGACCAGATCAGAGTCGCATACTCCAACTTGCTCCTGACAAAAGTAAAAAATAAAGTCATTAATGTATCAACATTGGAGAAATCCTTCCAGTTTCTGATACAGAAACCAAGTAGTCGAGTGGCAGCCGACGAGATATTGAGTATATGCTCAGTAAACGTTAGCTTGGTATCAAAAATGACTCCAAGGTCTCTATAAGAGGTGCATCTGTCTATAACCTGACCATTGATGTTATAATTATGCTGGATCTTTCTCTAGAAACTTTTCCCCCAAAAAATGCATGATTGTCGAGTTTGTGGCGTGTTCGGGTATTTAATAGAAGTCTATCAAATCTTTAAAAATGGGTGTTTGGGGCTATCATCTGCAAATTTTTGAGTCTATCCATACCCCCATGGCGCGTTTAACCGCTCCTCTTAACATCCGGCCGTTCGTTAACATCGCAAGCAAAATGGCGGTTGCCAGTGTTTGCTTTAATTATCATTCTATGTGCGTTTTTGTCTTTTTGTCACCCGCACCGTTACTCATGTCCATTACAGTATGTACACCATACCACGATCAACAAAAGGTTGTAAACATGCGAACACGCTATTGAGAATATCGAAGCTTATGACGTGTTTTACGTTTTTGCCATTATGATGTACTCTTCTTTGTTAATAATGTTGGATCCCATGTGTCTTTTGTTAACGGGTTCAAATTAGGCAAGTTACAGACAGGGTGAGTGATAATTCACCGTATCCCTTCCAGGGGGTGATAGGGGGACTGAAGTCTCACAAATTTCATCCTATATACCGGGAGCTCCAAATTTGACCCTCACCAATGGGATCTCGGAACTGGTAAGAGATACGAAATCACCTCAATGAGACCAAAGTTGCGTATTAAGGTAATTAAGGTGCCACTTCGAAAGTTTTGAAATACAAAGTACTTCCGGAGGGAAACGGAATAGACTGAATTTTTCCAAAACCGTTTCAATTTTTTCCTGACCTTATTTGTAGTGGGATTTCAAAATAAATTGCCACTTTTTCCCATCTACAGAATGTTGTAATTAGAATTTCAATATGACGTTTGCAATTTATTTCGAAATCGATTTTGTTTATATATATATATATATGCAGCGTGACTTCGAAGTTGAGTCATTTATTTTAACAGTGAGTAGATCTGATCAACAGAAATGTTTTTTCCTTTACCATTTTTCTGGTAAAATTAAAGTAACAAAGATATAGCCCTTTGGAAGTTTGAGTACCGCCCTGTCTCAATAATAATATCATGTGCTCGTGTTTGGCAACAACGGATATAATCCGCCTTATCGGTTCATCGCATCGGAAACAAAAAAGCGAAAGAATTTGGAACGATGTTTTTACAATCATTTTATTCAGTTCAGTTATACATATAGTTAGTGTCAGTCGGTAACGCGTGTGAATAGTGTCTGTTGCGTGGCTCAAACGAAATAAAAAATGGCACATGTTTATGCGGATCGGTTTCCCAATCGAGTGCAACCAACCCCTCGTGCCTTTGTTAATGTAGTACAACGGGCTCGTGAATCAGGTGACTTAAGACCTCACAGGGGACCTCACGATCAAATACAAGTCCGCACTGAAATACTTGTCGGGAGGATACTTTATAAAACAAGGTAAAAATTTTTTTTTAATTTTTTTTTTATTTTTACACACATATTTTGGTTTATCTTCCTTCTACAATCATTATCTGAAAATTAATGACTCAACTATGTATATTGATCTGATAATTTCAAGACCTGCCTAAGAAATTCTGTTTTTTTTAAATAACTAAGATTTGGCAATGCAATGTGTGATACGTTATAGATTTTTGGAATCAAAATTAAAAACTCTATCCATCTGTGCAAAAATCCAATATGGCGTCCATAAGTTGATGTTGAGAAGACGAAATTTTCTATTGAAATAATGATTATGCCATCTTGTAGAGGAGAAAAAGTGGCAATATTGATGTGCACTGTATAAATACACAAATACTGTAAATAAAGTTAGGAAAAACTAAAACGATTTTGGGAGAATTCTGTTGCTTCCCTCTCTCTTTCTGCGGAAGTACTTTGGATTTTAAGACTTTCTACCGGCATTTCGACCCCATTTAAGCGACTTCGCAACTCTTACTGTTTCCAAGATCCTGATAGATTTTTGGCTGACTGCGATTGAATTCCGTAATTTGTACTTAAATTGAATGTAATCATAGAAGTGCTAAAATACTTTACAAATAAAATAAGAGCTATTCTAAAAGACAGCATAGTTTTATTTTTCAATTTTCCTAAGAACATGGTTGTGTCTAGCTAAAAATTCCTAGACCATTATGCGTGCAAATTACTAGAAAAAACCAGTATTTTCACCTTTCCAAAATGAGAGCGTTTAATTCTTTACAAATAGTCACTCAAACCAGTGTACGTCATATAATAATCCCTTAATTAAATGATAATTTTAATAACTGTTTCAGATGACAGTACTAATTTCGGATGATTGTTAGGAAATCTCAAAAACTATTAATTTTCACCTAGACATGTATAGAATGAAATTTGTTACATTTTGGGGCCCCTATCACGTTCTGGAAGGAATACGGCGAATTATCGGTAAACCCTGCATAAAACTTTGGATAAGGTCTGGATGAACTTATTAGCTTATTATATTGTCCAATGTTGTATGTGTCTATATAAAAATTGCAGAGGCATGTTAGCCAGATGATAGTCAGATTACTATCAATCTTCCTATTTCTTGCTGCTTCTTCTTAATACCTTGCATGTGCGACATTTCATTGAAATTTCAGAAATTTTGGGGAACTTCCGATTTACCATGTTTGTTTGTATATGAGATCCAAGACTGTGTTGGTTATACAAAATGTTTTAAAATAGTAAGTTGTCCAAAATCTCATTAGACAGTATGACTAGAGTGGTCTAGACTATCGTAAAAATATAATTAGGAACTGTTTTCACTTGATGTATCATTAACGTTGTAATTTATTGTCCTAGTCGATGTTATCCTAAAAGCTTAAAATATATGATTCCACTTTTGTGGCATGCTAGCACGATTTCAAGACAATGCCTGTAAAAATTGGTTGCGTACTTTGTTTTGATGAAAGTTTTCCACATCTGTTTCTAAATTAGTGGAGTATAATATTATACTACACTGATTAGCCAGTTATTGTGTTCTTTCGAATATGATGAAACATATTTTTAGGGATGCTAAAAATTCATCTTTGATCGCCCACCTTGTATCACCACATTTTTTGAAAACTATTTCGTAGACTGTGAGGCTAATGTTTTTTCTGACGAATCTAAGTAATCAGAGGGCAGGCTGATAAGGTCCCATCGGCTTAGTACGTCGCCTTTGGATAAAGCCTGGAATTAACATGTTAATGTTTTTTGAACATTAGCTGACTATACATTTGCCAGAATGCTTCCTCTCTTTCTATTATCTCGGAGAAAGAGGTCCCATTGGTCTCTTTTACGTTTTTCCAGTCGCAAAGCAAGTGCGTAACAGTCTTATCTTCCTGTTCCCATTCCCTAAACAAGGATGTGTCACTAGTCTCAAAGAGTCAGGCTTCCTTATCTACGAGCCCCTTCCCACTTCAGTTGGCCCAACTATTGAAATCTTAGCTTTTTTCTTATCTAACACAAATAATAAAAATGTAGCAGAGTGTTATAGGTTTAAAATATTAACAATGAATATTTTGATAAAATATAGTAGAAAACACCAACTTTATCACTCCCTAATCAAATTTGCAGCATAAAAATAACACATGTTGCAATTACAGCATATCAACCTATTTTCATTTCAATGCAAAATAAGTCTATAACGCATAGGTGGCTGTAAAAAATAAAAGCCATGACAATTGTGTTTATTAATCACAGTCAGAATACGTTTAAAATAGTTTTGGGTAGTCAAGATTTTCAAAAGCGGTAGAGGAAAGGTTATTAGTGAGAAAATTCGGTTACTGATAATTAATTTTTTTAATTCTGGGAAATTAAACTCAGAAATTGCAACTTTGTTATACTTATCGCGGTACAGTGTGAGGAATATTGTTAGAAGATATAACGTAACTGGTTCAGTTAATATTAAGCCTCGATATGTGAAAAAAAGTAATATCACAAATGCCGACCGAAGAAAAATACTCGTGAAAAACAGGCATGCCAATTATTTACAATTAAGTGCTATGTGGAGTGACGCTGTTGGAAGGAGAATTTCGATGTCCACAACTCATAGAGAGACCCACAAACTGGGATTTAGCACTTGTAAGGTAAAAGTGAAGTAAAAACCCTAAAGTTGCACAACTTGCTTATAGGCCAAAGAAAAGCCACTATTAACTCCACTGCAAAAGAAAAATAGGCTTAGATGGGTTAAAGAACATAGACAATGGACACCTCAACAATGGTGTGCAATACAATGGAGTGATGAGGCCCGATTCGAAGTTTGTGTTGGTGACAGTCGCAGTAGAGTTATTCGCAAAAAAATAAAGCATTCCATGTTGACTGTCTGAAGAGAAAAGTGAAATTTCCAGCATCCATTATGGTCTGGGGCAGTATGTCATCAACAGGAGTAGGAAAACTTCATTTTATTCATGGAAATGTGGATACAAACAAATATTTGGCAATTTTAGAAGAATCGCTTTTACCAGTGATGAAAGATGTTTGACATCCGGCCAAGATTTTGTGTTTCAGCAGGATGGTGCAGCGTGCTATACATCAAAAAAGGCTATAAAATGGATGTAAGAAAATAATGTACCACTTTTGATATGGGTTTCAAGCAGCCCAGATCTGTCACCATTGAAACTTTGCGGCACGAGATGAAAAAGGTTCTACGACAACATCCTGCTCGTACCATCACCGAACTGAGACAAAAGCTTCAAGAAATATTGGATTGTTTTACACCAAATTTTTGCCAAAACTGGGTTAACACTATGCCCCAAAGAATTTTAGCCGTAATAAAAAATAAAGGTGATGTTACCCAATGGTAATCTTTCAATTGTTGCTTTGTTAACTTCGCGCATTTATTCGCACATTGTTTATTTATTATTATTATTATTATTATTATTATTATTATTAAACAACAAATTTGAGTTGAGTACAAATACTATAAACTCAAACACAAAAATAGATAATAGTGTACAGACAAAAGAAATATAACAATTTGACAATCTTAGCACTTCTGAAGTAGACATATACAGAATGGGAACAATATGTTAAGCACTGCGGTGTCTATCGTAATTGTTTTTGAAACTGTTGACGGATTCCGAGTTCACTACATAAGATGGAAGACTGTTCCATGCATCGAAGACACGGTTTGAGATGAAGCGCTGACGAGTAGAGGTTCTAAAAGCTTCCTTCTGCAATTTGAAGTTATGGCCTCTGAGACTGTTCGTTGCCAGACGAAACAGATGCGACATGTCCACACCAAACAAATTATGCAGTGCTCTGGAAGTGATGATGAGATCTCCTCGTACTATTTGTTCAGATGTTCTATTAGTTCTATTAGTTATAGGTCTAGTGACAAATATGTATTGTTTACGACTAGAGTGTATCTAACATGTTTTTTAGAAAATAAATTGTTTTAGAAGTAAATAGTTTCGTCATGTTTAGCTTATAAAGGCATATTTTGGTACAAATCTTGAAGTGGGCCAACTGAAGTGGGAAGCGGCTCGTAGTTGCAATGCCAGTATATCAAATACCGAATACTCGTTACTTCCCCAGGAACAGGAGAAAATTTAGGACGTTTTGGCCTTGGGGTGCAACGCAATGGATACTTTTTGTCCCCAACTCTTTAATTGCCACAATCAATGATGTTCTTCAATTTTCACTTTACCCCCCCAGTTTGTCTAAATTAGTAATAGTGAACAATAAATATAATGAATTAGATGCAATTATTATGCGTGATACATGTGTAGACATGTAAAAAATTATCTAACAATAATTTGAACATTTATATGATTACACAATCAGCCAAATCATTGCCCACAAGTAAAAAAATTCGCTCACTTTTCCTGTCCAACAGATAGAAAACTACCGAAACGCAAGTAAGTGTACACTTGGCAAACCGTATAAAATAATAAAAAATCACTTTCGATTTAACGATCCATGCAGAAATATAATAATGGTTTCGAAAATTAAAAATCAATTAAGCGACTTGCCGCGTATGTCCAATTACGTTTGGCGATTAGTCAAGATTATAATTGACCCAATGAAAGGTGTGCTGCTTGCCAACACTATGGACAGCAGATTAGATAACCTTTAATTGCCTGAAGTTGGTTTTGAAAAAAAACGATGCATTGGTCTTTGTCGCCGTTTAATGCATAGAATAGCTATGCTAGAATCGTTTTGAACTCTTATCAGTATTGATTAGTGCGGAGCTCGCCTAAATAATTGATAGTCAGTCACGAGACCTACTTTCTCTTAAAAATGAAGTTGTTTTGATTGATTGGATGAGACAGTTTGCTTAAGATACAAAAAAATGTCAAGCAGATTGACTGTGTACTTTTTGCAAAACGCTGTCATCATTTCATAAAGGATTATATTCTGCCCAAGTTAGTTCCTTTGAGCTAGCTACAAATATGTACAACAAAAAATTGAATGGGTCAAGTCAGCCAAATAGGCCCATATGCAATGAGCACATAGTCCGCATCCATTTGATAACGCTTACACTAGTTTCTTCCCTGCCCCAAGTATCAACCATCTGGCACGCTGCTGGACCATACCAGTCAACAGCAACAACATATTTTAAACTGAGTGTTTGACATTCTAGAGGCTCATGATTATTATTATTATTATTGAGAAAAATATTTTGTAGAGGTTGAAAATTAAGGGTTGTAGTGGTAGGGGTTGTATATCTCTATATAGGAATGTCTGTCGAGTCTGTCACCATCACGCTAGAACAACAATATGGAGAGACGTCAAAATATGTACACTTAGCAATTGATAGGGGCATAGTTTTATGCGCGAACTCATCTTTGATTTTGCAGTACTAAAACCTCCATCGTCAGTGTCAAGCTGGCAACACCATGGCCTGTCAATCGCCCACTAAACCTGTGACCGCCAAAAGATACAGACGTTTTTTGCACTAGCTGATACCCGCGACTTGTACGCTTGAAACTGTTATTAACATAAAACATTGTTTTTAAGTAATGCTATAAACTTCCAATCACGTTTTCAATTTTTGATGGCATTAGTAAATTGACAACCGAATTGCATGCTTGGGAAATTGGTTTCTTTATAAGTGGCGCCACTTACATGTTCTGCTGGCAAAACCGCGCGGTAGATCGCTAGTGTTGTCTTTTAGTGTTTTATTATTAAGAAATTTATTATTCCGGTGGTATTACCCATCCGTTAGACATATCACACATATTTTCCAAAATATAACTGCTAACCATATTTTCAGTCGCTCATGTATGGGAAGTAAAACTAATTTGATTAATTTTGAGCTACCTTTAGGACACAATGAAACTTACGATACACACGAAATAGAATAGATATATAAAGCTGATGACTAATTCGTGTTATTTATTCTTAGGTAAGTGACATCTTGGCTCTACGGCACCTTATCAGTGAACGTAAGTTGATTAAACTAGATATGTTTTTATATGACAATTTTTCAAACCAAGATTTCGAATGTTGCATAGGTTAGACTTTGGAATTGTGGTTCATCCTTGTATACAGAAGTTACCTAAACGGCTCAGAGCGAATCTTATATTAATATTCTGTTTGGTCGAAGTAAATTTATTTGGATATATGGACCCCAGTTACAGATTACACTTTGCACGTTCCATGCAACGCTGTCATCAGTTCATAAATAATTACGTTTCGCACAACTTACTCTTAGCTACAAACTTGTATATATAAAAAAAAATAGGTCAAGTCAGCCAAACAGGCCCATAAAATTAGTCTATAGTCCCCATTTATCAATGCTAATGCTAGTTTATCCTTGCCTTAAGCATCGACCATGTGGCAACGGCGCTGAACCACACCAGTCAAGCAAAATCTATGATGCGATACTGCGGCAAAAAATATTCCCTACCCTTGATTTTTAAAATCCACATTTTTTTCTGAAAATGATCAGATTCCTCCGAAACGGCAAAAAACGAAGTTTAAGCGATTTTTATTAATCTTAATTTTTTGCTCTTCATGACGCCGCCACTGGACCGATGTTCAAATACTACAAAGTTTTTTGGTCCGGGGCGTAGTACTTAGCTCTTTCGTGTGAAAATTCCATCAAAGTCCAAGCAGTAAATTTCAAGTAACAGTCGGGCCAAGGATTAGCAGACAGACAGACCAACGGAAATGAATTACATAGTTTTTCGTAATGTACTGAATCATTTTCGAGGAAAGTGTAAATAATTAAATTTTCTCAAACATTTGGCAACGCTGCAACGCAACCGCGATACGAGCGCACGACGACCGCAACTGATTCATCTAATTGTTTACGTTTGTATGATATTTTTGTTGAAAATATGCCTTGAATACTTTTACGCAATTTTATGTAGCTAATATTCTTTATTTAATATCGCTTTCAGTACATTTACTTAAAAAAAAAATGACAGAACTTACCGGTACGTGGCGATACACACTACCAATTCTCACGATTATCAGTCACTTATTCGAAAGGATGCGATGCACCAAAAAAGAAAAAACCAACATGCGTAAATCACATAAACTTACAGTTAAATGTATTAGTAATCATAACAACACGCGATGATACTTGCAGTGCAGGCGGAGTTCGACGTTGCCAGTTATCTGAGGAATTTTATTTGTCTGTTTTTCTTCTGAAAATTGTATTTAATAAGTAAGAAAATTATTTTGTTAGATGCAGTTAATTAATAAATAGATGAATTGATACATTTTACGCTATTGGGCATATGAATTTAAATTATTAAGGCACAAAATTAATTTATTTCATGACTTAAAAGAAATAAGTTTAGCAGTTTTTTTTTGCTCCGAAACGGTTATAATGAACTTTTTTGCTGTATAGTACATATGTATATCGCGATTACTATATTTCCTCGCCAGTTGGCAAAAAGACTGCTAAAGCCAAGAAAGGTCCTCTCTGCATTCCGACCATGAGAATCCTGGCTAAATACGATCGGTTTGCATTTTGTCTCTGCAACCATAACCAATCTATACATCGTTGTTTCATGCTTTTTGGCAATAATCAGTACGGTATAGGTCTACTTATTTGGAGACAGATACCGTACTGATGATTGCTATAGAGCATGAAACAGCGTTGTATACGGTTGGTTATGGTCGTAGAGATAGCAGCGAACAGATCCCCTTCAGCCTGTGTTCACTTCATGAAACTTTGCATGGTTCGTCAATGCTGGAAGCATGGTGAGTACTCACACGAGTGACGATGGACAGTTATGTGGTGGACGACCTTGTCCAAGCTATCGTACGCAGGCGTCGGTAGTACCGTGATTGGCGAACTACTCAGTGTCACCTTTATTTTTCACATCACTACGTCAAAAAGACCACAGTTCTCAAAAACATGTGTGACGATACGATGCTGCATATCCGTTAGAAACTTTCTTAAATAACCCAGTGATGAAGTAGCAAAATGGCTCTGTCGAGACGACAGTTTTGATTTGCTACTAGCATTAAGACTGGACTCGGTGGACTGGACACTGTAAGTATCTCTATAAGGGCCTAAGCAACCCATCCTTACGTAGAGATGTGAGTAGCCCAGCTATCCTATCAATAATTGAATACATTCTGGGGAACGTTGGCATTACATGGCTAACGTACCGGGATCGTATTATCACCTATACGACTGAACAGACGAACTAGGAACCCAATCTGGTCTAATTCTTCCATTCCAGAAAACATTGTATTGCAACATATCATGAACGTGTACACTTTTACATCGGAATACCCTCATTCACAGTGATTATTATCCAAATGGTATATTATACAGTTTGGATAATAAGCAGTCATAAATCATAGGTATTTAAACAACCTATAAATGATAGTCGATGCAACAACAATAAAAGTAAAGCAATTTCCACACGAATTTGCATATTATCTATATCTGTAAGGTCGTGATATAATTGTTTTGTACATTTTAGACGTCATCGTTTGGTATAAAGATTAAATAATTATACACAGCATACAACTATAAAAAGCCATTACGAGATTCAATAATTATACAAAGTATGAATCACTGATGCCAAACGCGGTTTTGTGGAGATGTAGTCTAGAATATGGAATCTTTCCGTATGTATAGTCATTGAAGGCACATAGGTTTTTTTATAAATGGTACTAATATTAGAAAATAATACGAGATGCATTGGATTCTGAAATTCCCATATTTGTAATTTTGTAGCTGACATACTAAATACATGATTATTACTGCCTGATTGATGTTAAGCTTGGGTCACCGTTGACGTGCAGTTACTGGCTGCTTTTGGTGGAAACACGGCCTTCTTTAATTTGTTGGTATCAACTAGCATAACAGTTCTTAGAATCGGGTTTCAGTGGCATTTGGTGGAAACACTTCCTAAAATTACTAACGCTTTCGCTATGACATCAACTCCTTTAAATTTTTAATCTCAAATGTTAATCGCCCGGTTAGGAATAAGTTTACCTTTTCACGCCTAACATCTGTCTCTCATAATATGCATCACTGTCCACCTTCTTTCGATACGTTGCTGTCAACTTTTTACTTGTATTTGCGTTACAGTTGTACTGCGGTCGCCAGTTGCCTTTGGCGGAAACACCCCCTAACGCATAGCAAGGTTATGAATTGAGTACATGTTACGATTTATCTTTCACTTCCCGATTCGACCCTAGGTGTCAACTTTTGTTGGAGTTGACTTGTATTTAGGTTACAGTTGTATTGTGTCGCCAGTTGCATTTGGCGGAAGCGCTCCTTAACGCATATAAAGGTTATGAGGTGAGTACTAGACCTGATTTTATTTTCACTTCCCGTTTCGACACTAATATTAAAAACCGCCCCACCTGTGACACAGACCCCTTCAGATTTTCAAACTCGAACGTTAGAATCGCTCGGTCTGAAATTATAACGAAAATTTCGATGGAACAGCATCCTCGGAGCCTCTCATCAAGTCAGCATCAGAGTCATCCTTCTTTCGCCATCTTAGCGACAACTTTTATTATATTTGACTGGCATTTGCACTGCAGTTGTATTGCGGTTGCCAATTGCATTTGGTGGAAACACCTCTTAACGCATAGCAAGACTATGAGTTGATTGCACGTCTCGATTTTATAAAAAAATGGCCTCCTCTAAGGCACCGACTTCTTGAGGTTTTCAATCTGTAACGTTAGTATCCTCCGACCCGAAATTATAACGAAAATATCTACGACTAACAGCATCCTCGGGGCTTCTGATCGAGTCAGCATCAGAGACCTCATTCTTTCGTCATCGTTGTGTCAACTTTTGTTGCAGTTGACTTGAATTTGCCTTGCAGTTGCCTTTGGTGGAAACACCCCTTTACTCACAGCAAAGGTATGGATTGAGTACACGTCCCAATTTTACTTTCACTTCTCGTTTCGACTTAATATTAAAAACGGCCTCTTCTATGGGGCCGACTCCTTCAGATTTTTAATCTCGAACGTTAATATCGCCCGGGCCCAAATTATAACGAAAATTTCCATGGCTAACAGCATCCTCGGAGCGGAGCCTCTCATCGTGTTTGCTCCAGAGTCCGCCTTCTTTCGCCTTCTTGATGCTCTATAGCCGGCGAGAACTTCCCGCTTCCCGGAAAGTCTCTCTGGCTCTTATTAAAAGCCCTAAATCTTAAATTCCTTCTCTCGACTGATCAAGTCCTAAAAGTTTAGCGACATTTATTACGAGGACGCCTCAGCGGCGGATGAGACACTTTTCTGCTTTCCCTCCTTCCTGATGTCCTATTTTTAAGCGAACGGGGTCAAGTAGATTGACTTTCTACTACCCATTTTATAAAATCTGTAGAAAAAATGTATTTTTCAACATTATCAGATATGACAGTCACGTAAAGTGGATCGCTCAAACTGATGATGGCAATACACAGATTTCTGGAAAGTAGGTATAGATAAATTGGATGGGATGGCCGAGATGAACTACAAATTAATAATGTCTTTGAACAGTTTGATTTTGATATGAAGGGATTACTTAGGATTCAGAACTATCGTGGCCCCCCAATAATAATCAAAACGCATATAATTAAGAAGTTACTGAGGTAGGTGGACTATAAAAGGCCATTCTCTCAAGTCGTAGTTATTGCCATACGATGCCATAATTATTCCTTCTACTCGGACACAGACGCAACGACGAGCTGCTCACCTCATTATTTTGTCTATGCGTTCCCTCGTTTTGTTAACACCGATCGTCGTCGACGTTAAAAGTATAATCCTAGCTCACTGCAAAACGTAACTTTTCAGAAAACCAGTTTCTTCTCTTTATTTGCGGAACATTTTGAACTTTTGCCATTTTATTGGTTTAAATGTTTTTTAATTGAATTTATAAAGGTCCTTGGCAACTTATTTGATATCGATATAAAACTAATGTTATTTTTAAATTGTTTTCACGGATACATTCTTAGTTTTACAATAGCGTTCAAGTAGTGTTGATTGAGTATTTTTTATGAGAATATATTATTGTATTTAGCATCACATTTTAATGCAGTTTAAGAATTA